TAATGTTTATGCAGACATGTTTACTAGGTTCAATTAGTTGAGTTTCCATACAAACAAACAGGGGTTTACCAGTTTCTAATATGCTTGGTTGCAAGTTTTTCATTTGTCGTTGAAGCAAAGATAGACTAAAAAACAAAATGTACTAAAACACCTTCAGAAGCAGGATCCCTGATCCAGCAGAAGCTATAAGACTCTAGCCAGTCACACAACCGAGAAACAACACGGCACAAGCAATAAGCCGGCAGCTCGGAAGTGCGCACAACTTATAAAATACACTGTTGCACGAGAAATTGAGCAAGGAAAAATACCTTTCTCCCCAATATAGCCACGCTTCCGGTTCCCTTTCTTAGTGGAATTTCCAACATTGCAAATGGACTCGATATTTTTGGCAGAAAAACCCTTCTCATTATTGAAGATGAGCAAAGTAGCAGGCGCACCAGTGTTTGTTATATCTCGAGATGTTATGACAAACTCAAGTGAAGGATCCACCCCTTCCAAGTATTCATTATCTTCAGCATTCTGTGAAAGGAAAATTCACCTTGGAATCAAAGGATAGTAAACTATGCATATTATATCAGATCAAAATAACTGCTACAAAAAATAAAATATCCAAAATTTTAACATGAAAAATGCACAATTTTTTCTTTATCAAATTCAACAAGTTATGATGATAGCAATCCATTCCTTCTTCATTTTTATTAACTGTTAAAGACCTTGAATGATCAAAATTAGGTAGCTTGATGACTTCATTTCAATTAGAAAAACAACAAGAACCCATTTTTTTACCGAAAGCCACAGCCTAAAAGAAAAAAAAAAAAGACAGTCATTGACTCAACTTGACTCTTAGCTTTTCAATTCAGTAAAACAAAAAACAACAGAAATTTGCAGCTTCCAACTTTAATCACTAGCAAAGCAATCAGCGACTACAAAATAAAAGGAGAAAGAATGGATCAAGGGCAAATAAAACATAGAAAGTAAAACATGCAACATTGAACATACTAAACAGCATTGTTTGGTCACATTGATAAAAAAAAGAAAGAAAACCTGAATGAGTTCCATAAGAAAGTGGACATCTTTAGCGTAGAGTTCAGCAGAAAGATACTTGACAGCCTGATCAAGCATAGGAGCCAAAGGGTTCTTTTCTCCTCCTATTGAGAATGTAGTTTTCCTTATGTGCTCTATGTGTTGTTTTGGAGTTGCCATTGTTGCTCTTGCAAACAGAAAAGAAAAAACACCCAGAAACCAAAAAAGAAAAACACGAAGTTGAGTAGTTACAGTCTTAAAGAGAGAAGAAAGCGGAGGTTTTGAAGGAAACAAGGAAAGCTCGAAAAGAGGAGATGGTAGCGGTAGCGGTAGTAGTGAGTAGTGATGTGAAGCGATATTGGCAGACTGGAAACTAAGAAGACTCCTTCATAGGGAAGGAAACTTGTACAGGTAGTAGTGGCGGAGGAAAAGGAGGAGAGGCATTCACTCGAGAAAAAAATAAAAGCATAGAAATATTTAAATAATAATTGAAAGAACCTAAAAAAATATGTTTTTCCTTATCAGTACAAATTTAGAAAATTAGAAAACTAGTTTTTTCAAGCATAGAAATATTGTATTTAAATAGGATGGCTTGGTTTCTCTTTTACTTGTTCCATAAAATTAGAGTATCTCTCTGTTTTCTTTACATCCATTTTCCTGTCATGTAAAATTTTTGGCATGATATAAAATAAAGGAGATGGTTCAAAAGAAAATTAAAATTTATTTTTATATCAGCATATTAAAACAATTTTAAAAATTTTAAAATTAATTAAAAAAATTAATTTTTTTTAAAAAAACAATTGAAGCTCAGTACCAAATAAAATCACCCACAAGAAGTTATCATAATGTACTTAACCCCCGTGCATTAAGGATTATAAGAGAGAAAGAGTACTGATCCCACCAAGGTTTCCATGAATCCAAGTTCGTAACTGTTGGAGCTGCTATGCTGTCAAACGAAGGATGCGATTCAAAAATTAAAATTAGTTGTTATAATCATGCTTTATTACTCAGAAACTATTCATGGTATTGTTTCATGCATTCCTTTTCTTTGTCTTGAGAAGAGCTTCATGCTTGTTGTAACAAGCTGAGGGAAATCTTCCCCTCCTCGTTCTCTTTAAGCATGAATAGGAAAAGGCTCGAAGGAAAAGAGAGGTGCTAAGTGAACTGAACCACCCCATGCTGTGATCATCGAATTACCTCATTGGTACAAAAAGAAAACAGACAAGAGCTGATTCATGAGTGGACCTGCTAGCGAGAAAAGAACTCGGGCCACGTGGAAGAGAGGAAAACTTGCTCGAGAAGTAGTGTAAAGCAGAGTTTTGAAAGCTGGGCCTGGCTTGACTTGGGATTAGGTTAATCCGGTATTGAAATTAGATCGAGTTGCTAATTGAACTGAACCACGCCATGTTGTGATCATCGAATTACCTCATCGGTACAAAAAGCAAAAAAGACAAGGGCTGATTCATGAGTGGACCTGCTAGCGAGAACAGAACTCGGACGTAGTGGAAGAGGGGGAAACTTGCTCGAGAAGTAGTGTAAAGTTGAAAGCCAAAGCTAGAAAAAAGAAAAGGAAAGGGCTATCAAATTTAAAGCATAGAAAAGTGGACTCAAATATTCGTTTTTCACTGTTCGGAGAGAGAGACTGGTCTTTAATAATTAATTGAATGGTCCTCTGTGATTCGACCGCACGAGGCAGTGTGTTTGCCTGGGCAGTTTAATATATCTTTAAAAATAATAAAAAAAAATTATTTAAAATTATTTTTATACATTTTTAGATGGTTTTTGACATATGACAGAAATTAGAGAAGCTTTGGGAGCCCATTGTATTCGGTGCTCGTAATATAGAAGAAACAGGATCCTTATTTTTATTTAAAACTATTATCTTGGACATTGGGAGTTCAGAAAAAAAAGTTTTGAACAAATTTTCCACTTAATATAAAATCGGGATCAGAAGTTTTTTTTAAAAAAAAAACAAACAGGCTCTGAACCTTTTTCTCAAGCTCGCCTTGCTAGTGTTTCTTTTTGCACTTTTTGCTTGGTCAAGAAAATGATGATTTTGTATCCTCTGTTATAATTAATTATTGGTCATCAGAAAGGAACCATGCTGTTCTGGCCCTTCAATGAAAGGAAGCAGTTCATTTGATATTAATTTTTTTCCTGGTGGGTTCCTTTGAAAAATAAAGCTTTAAGCTTGATAAGGTTTGCCGTTGCATCCACTAGTTTTAGTATCCTCTGTGTCAAAAGCAGGCATGTGTTCTGTTTAAATTATGAATTCAGACCAATTTAATTTGTAAAAGTTGCAAATTGTGCAAGATGCTGGTTAATTTATATTTTTTGGTGTGCCTAATTGTATTCATAACATTTACCTTATGAAGGTATGAGCTAGGCAACCTGCAAAATATTTGTTACTGTGATAGTGATTGCAAAACAAATTTAAAATTTAAAATTTAATTTTAAAAAAATCTAAAAATATCAAAAAAATAATTAATTTGAAAGAAAGAAATTTTTTTAATTTTTTTTTTAAATACAAAAACAAACATGCTAATATTATTAGCCAGAACTCATGTAAAGACAGGCCATACAAAATCACTAGATCATTGACATGCGGGTCAGGTCAATGTTTCCTAATTCTAAAAAAAATTGTTCAGATATAGCAGCTGGTGGACTACAATTCTATTTGTAGTTGATTCAATTCTAGGTTTAGAGGGGTATTTGGAAAATAGTAGTAGTTGTAGCTTTTAAAATTGATTTTTATTTAAATATGTATTAAAATATTGTTTTTTTATTTTTTAAAATTTATTTTTGATATCAAAACAATTTAAAAATATTTTGAAGAAAAAAAATTTAAAACATTTTTTTGGATCATTTTAATGTGTTGATTTAAATAATAAATTTTAAAAATTAAAAAAAATATTATTTTAATGCATTTTTAAATGAAAAAAACTTTGAACAAGAATCATTATTACAATGCCAACCACTAATGTATTTGATATTGTTGTAATTTTTATAATTATGATTTAAAAAAATAGATTTAGAAAAATCTTTTTTAGTCATAGTTAATTGATATAAAATATATATTTGGTTGAAATTATGGTTGAATAAAAAATAATTTAAAAAAGTTTTGTTCAAATAGTTTTTGAAAACTATATTAATAATAAAATGACTGAATATGACACATATCACTTTTGTAGTTTTGAATTTCATCATTATACAATAAATTATTAATACATTATAAATATAATAATATGATATTAAAGTTTTATTTTTATTATTTTATTAAATTAACTGTAATTCTATTATAAATATAATTTATTCGAGAAGCCTTTCATATTCATGATTTATGAACATGAAACAATATTAGTTAAAAAAATAATTAAAAATAAAATAATTATGGTGCATCTTGTTGGTGTTCTACATGTTGGAATTTATTTATTGATTGATCCTCCCAATTCCGCCACTATTTTTTTAAGTTAACTAACACTAAAAAACCTGTGGTGCATTCTATATACTATGCCCGTGAGTATATACTAAGATTTGTTAAAATTTAATTATTTTTTAAAATTATTTTAATGCATTAATATTAAAAATATTTTTAAAAAAATAAAAAAAAAATATTATCATAATATATTTATAAAAAAAAACTTTAAAAAACAATGTTATGATAATTTTAAACACTTCGTGTGGTTCAACCTCACAAGTCTTCGAAGCAAGAAGATAAAGGATACGACAGAGAAATTTGTAGAGTTCGTTTGTCTAAGTGGAAGTGTTTGTATTTTTTAAAAACACACCGATATATGTGTTTGGTTACCATATGCTAAAAAAATCAAAAATGCGAGTCCCACCATTTTATTAAGGTAGGATCGTGATTTTGAAAAAACAGTAAAATACTACTTCTTGCAAGTTCAACCACAGGTTGAACTTTCTAGAGATAACAGAGATGGAAAATTTACCAACTTATCCTCTTCTCTTTTGTTGCTCTTCTCGTCCGTTCTTCGCATTCGTTTTTTTTCATTACGCACAACAACCTTACAGGAAACCATTATTACTACACAACCAACGACAATTAAAGTGATGGTTGCGTCTTTTTCTTCACATTCAGTTATCATTCATTTCGCCTTGACAACAGAAAAACATGAACAACAACAACCCATTTTACTGCAATTAGCAACCCCAAAACATGAACATTGGGCGTGCTTCATTCAAACTCCATGGCTGAAATTCTTCTGTTAGTATTTAATTTCAGCCCTTATCAACATTTAATTTCTTGTTTATATAGTTCATTGTTTGTTTAATTTTTCCTTGTATTGTCATCCATTAAGTAATAGATGGATCTGACATACATGATAAAGTTTATTAGACCAAGGCAATGTTGCACATGTTTTGTAACATTTGCATTAAAACAATTGAGAAAGGTATGAGACCAAACATCTATTTCGACAAAGCTGGGTGGAAATTTGTCATACAATCATTCAAAGATCATACATGACTTTCATGAACAAAAGCTCAATTTAAAAACAAATAGGATGAGATTAAAAAGGATTAGAGGGTATGGAAAAAATTAATAACTGAAACTGGAGTTGATCTACTGAACTTGGGACCATCTCAGCAACTGATGAGTGGTGGCAATAAAAAATTTAGGTTAGTTTTCATTATCAATAGCCTCACAAAATTATTTGTCATGTTGTATTATTTGTTAATGTACTATCATTGCTAAGTATGTCTAATTTTCATTACACAGGAAATGAGAAAAGTAAAGAAGTTTAGGCATGTCGGCGTAGAGCTCTCATTGTGTGCCAAGTATGATATCATGTTTACTAACATAGTGACCACGAAAGAATATGCTTGGACTCCTTCACAAGGACTCTTATTAGATGAAGATAATGAGGATGCTGCTGAAATAAAAAATACAACTAATAAAGAAACTAATATAGAAGAAGGAAATGACGACTCTGAAAAGGATGCAATCCCTGATTTCATACATGATGTTAGCAATATGGTTAGTGTTAATTCAGTGTCCTCGTATTTTATAATTCTAGATCTTGAATTTCAGGTTTTGATGCCAATGGTATTAAAGAATCAAGTATAATGTTCTTGATGTATTTTTTGATTGGGATGATGTGTACAATGAAGATTTATATTTTTGCATGAAGTCTTTTATGATAAGGTTATTTGTTGTTGTTTTTTAAACCCTTTTGAATGCAATGCTTTGTAATTTAAATTTAAACTTGGTGTGTGTTATTTAAACTTTGATGCTAGAGTCTTACTCCAAAAAACATTTATTAGGAAGGCTTGCAGCATATTGAACACAATATTGACACTAATAATATAACATAAATAAATATTTAAGGTCAAAAAATTAAATACATTATAGAACATTGTAATAAAATTAGATAATATTAACATTAATTACAAGCCCATCAGAAAATAAAAAAATAATACAG